TGTAACATCCACAACAGCATCAGATAAGCACATTGTGAGCAAATCACCTATGAATTTATAGTCGGCAGGGGCATAGCTCAGGTGGGTCAATTAACACCCAAACCCACCTATCATTCTCCAGGCTGCCTCGTACTTGCCATTCCACCTCTTTTCTTATTGCTTTCCAGTGTAATGAGTGTATTCGTGGGTGAGAACAACAGCCAATTTGCACACGGCAATATTTTACAAATGGCCATTTTTTTGGAAGGATTGTTGACCAAGACACCAGGAGAAATTCCCTTTTTTTTTTGGCTGATACCATGGGATATTTTATATATTATAAATATATTATAAATAACTTATATTGCATAAATCCAAGACTGTTTGCGGGACACTGGTGTGCGCAATTGTCTGCCGTGTTTCGCCCACAAAATATTTAGTCAATTCACTTTGCAGTATGTTTTGTGAAGTGCTTTGAGATGTCTCAAATACAAATATCAAAAAAATCAAAAAGCTATATCAAATGCAAGGAGTATTATATTATTATATATTTCACATCCACCTGAACAATCAGATGAGATCTCGGTTTAATGTCTCATTGGAAAGACAGCACCTCTGACAATGCAGCACACACCCAGCACTGCAATGGAGTGCCATAGACTGGGCTCAAAGAGAATGTCCTACCAACTGAGCCAGGCTGCTTCTAGATTTAAAAAATTATATACATTTTTAAAGTTTTATGCACACAAATTAAAATCACGTCGCTCAATACGTTTCTCGAAAAGTTCTCTTATGACATTCAGAAATAATGATTTGCAGATTTTCCCCATTACATTCCCCACTCTTGAATGTACGAAAAAACATATGTGTCATAGAAGTCCGTGAAATGAAAGCACTCAAATACTGTAGTTTTCAAAAAAAAGTTAAATTGTTTGCCTTTTATTATTTTTAGGGAATTACTTTTGAATAACTTGGTTGCTTTTTTTATTATTTGTGGTTGCTGTCATCTTGTTTCTAGTTGTCAGAGAAACATATCAAGGTCATCATTTCTGACTTTTTTTGCGGTGGATTGAGCAATCATGCGTCAAACCCTATTATGGCTGCCTGCATTCATCAACAAATAATGATAATAATAATCCTTGCATTTGATATAGTGCCTTATCACATGTTTGAGACGTCTCAAAGCGCTTCACAGGATATACTGTAAAGTGAATTGACTTGGGCAAAATATGGCAGCCAATAGCGCACAGCAGTATCCTATAAACAGTCGTGAATTGAGTGACCATTAAAACATTTTTTTGAGAGAGATTATTAACTCTGAGAACCAATTCGCCAATCAACTAACAATGCAGTGCTGGGTGTGTGCTGCATTGTTAGAGGTGTTGTCTTTCCGATGAGACATTAAACTGAGATCTCATCTGGTTGTTCAGGTGGTTGTGAAATATATAATAATAAAAGGCCACGCTGGGTTTCTACTTATTGGGTTCCTATTTACTGCGAGGGAAACAGAGACGTGTGGAGTAAGGAATCTTGCCTAAGGTTTCACCCTGCCCAATAATTGAACTCGGGTCCTTTCACTTGCGAGTTGAGTGGTCTAACCATTACACTATAGGACTCCAAATCAAGATCCAATCACCCTACTTCACTCCTAGTTCACTCCTTCAACTGGCTTACTCTTACATCAGGAGTTTAAAAAATGGACGAACTTGCCATTTGGAAGCAATAAATCATTGAGTCTCTTTTTCACACATTCCTCCTCTATTGAAGATACTGATGCTGGTTGGGAAATTGTTCAAAAGGATGCTATATAGGCCGCCCCTTGCCCTCATCTGATAGACATAAATGTACAAGTCCCTAAAACCATTTGTAGCTAACCCCATCCACCATCCGAATGAGTGATATTTGCTGTGCACAACTGGCTGCCTCTTATCTCTACAAAATATTTAGTGAATTCACTTTATAGTATATTCTGTGAAGCGCTTTGATACGTCTCGAAGACGTGATCAGGGCCTATATCAAATGCAAGGATTATTAGTATTACTTCTTAATGTGTAATAGTATTATTGGAGAATAGTAGTAATATAGTATTATTACTCTTATTTAGCACAGGAGATCAAACATAGAAAGAAAACAACAGAAAAGCCGGGCTGGGAATTGAACTGCCTCAAGCTTAGTTCTTCATTCGGAACCATGTGCTTTTCTCATTCAGATTACGATTCTGAAAATAGCAAACATCATCATCAAAATAAATGGATTCCAGATGCATAAACTTATCAAGGCCTTCAAATCTTCTACAAATAAAAAGTCTTTGTTATTTTAAAAGAGGGCTTGAGTTGCAGGAGAATCTTACACAGCAAATACCATAGGGGGGGTTGAGATTATTCAACAGTACATCATGGATCCATCAGTGATTTTTGTATAATGATTTTGAACGCTTTAAATGTTTTTATGCGTTTCCCCTTTCATCATAAATGTATAATCCTTGCATTGCCATTTTTTGATCCCTCCAGAGTACTTGTTAAATCCCAGCTAAGAGCCACATGCTTTGGGTTCATCATTCTCTTTGACACTTTTGATCCAGCTAAAACATGAATAAAACAGATCTTGGCTGAACCACTAATACAGAATAGTCCTTTAGCTCAGTGGTTAGCGCTCTCACCTTGCAAGTGAGAGAACCTGGTTCTATTTCCAGCAGGGCAAAACATTGGGCAAATTTCCTTACTCCACGTGCCTCTTTACCTAGCAGTAAGTAGGAACCCGGTTGTTAGTTGATTGGCGGATCGCTTTTCTGGAGGTAATAATTCCTTCAAAATAAAAATAATAATAATTAGATCACTCAATCTACGAATGTTTGTGGGATACTAATGTGCGCAATTGGCTGTCACATTTCGCCTACAAAATATGCAGTCAATTCACTTTACAGTATATTTTGTGAAGTGCTTTGAGACGTCTCGAAGACGTGATAAGGCGCTATATCAAATGCAAGGATTGTTATTTCTTTGTTTGCCCTCTGGAGGGTCCATTTCCTGCGCTCTTGTGTCATATGGTCCTCATAAATTCATGGTACCCTGGAGCCAGAACTGTGATCTTCACACCTCAGCACTATTAAACATAACACATTGGGTCACCAAATCAATGCTAGTTCAATGGTCAAGGTGCCCCTTAATTCCAAATGACGGTTGTTTGATAGTTGATAGAGAGAAATTAATTCACCTGATTAGTGATTCAGTAATTAAAGTATATCGATTTACCAAAAAAGCAAAGGTGGAAGATTGGGAGAATTCTTTTTACAGAGTTACTAGGATCTGCTGGGTGTGGTAGTTGAGATAGGATCAAATATTAGCTTTTAAGAGGTAACTGGCTAGATATCTAAAAATAAATGGCTTACAGGGATATGGGGAAAAGGCAAAAAGGAATTGGACTGAACAATTGCTCTTCTACTCAGCACTGACACGATGGGCCTAATGCTCACCTCCCCTGAAAACACTTTGAGGTTGGCCAAAACTGACTCACTTACCTGTACCTATTCACGATCGCGTTGACGTTTTCAACCCCCACAGCCCGCCCACTGACTGATGGCAGTCCAGTCCATCAATAAAAGCCATGATGGGAGGAGCAGAGCCAAGTCAGCCAAATCCTGACCTTCCCCTCCACACCCAACCCAATCCTTTGACCCCAGATCCACCCCTGCTGAGAAGGTATTAAAATGTTCAAGGTTCAAAGGCTTACTCTTTAGAGGTACAATACCAATGGGGTGCTATAGCTCAAACTCTGTTCTAAGTGCAGTCTGGCCTCTGGATATTTTAGCTGAAATTGTGGAAAAGAACACATTTGCGGTTTTAACGTTTGATGTACAACATGATCTTAATGGGATTGAGTAACAATAACTTGCATTTATTTAGCAACTTTCAAGTAAAAATAAACTCTTGAAATGCTTTATTGACCATAAATCAAATAGCATTGAAAATGAGTGTTGTTAAATATGCAAACCAGGCAGCTAATCTGCTCCAACAAAATCCCATAAACAATGAGATGAGTGGCTGAAGTATCAACCTGGCTCTGCTCGTAGTACTCTTGCCTCTGAGTCGGAAGCATTGTGGGTTGAAGCACCATGCTGGAACTTTGAGCGCAAAGGCAAGTCTGTGCAAAGCTGGGGGAGTGCTTGTGGCAGGTGTCATCCTTCAAATGAGATTTTAAACCAAGATCCTGTCTGCTTGTTCAGGTGGACGTCAAAGAGAAGGAAGTTTCTTCTGGTGATTTGGTCAACAATCCCTCAGATAACTTGGTCAGACATTTCATGGATGCTTTTGGGACATTGTGTGTAAATCGGCTTCCGCGTTCATCGACAAATACACAGTCACGACACTTCACAATAAAATCTTGCAAAGCACTTTGAGTGTTTTGACGTTATGATAGGACTCTGTATTAATCAATTTATTATTCAGTTAAACTTGGGACAAATTAGGGTTAGGAGGGAAATGTAAACCAAGATAACCAGGAGAAAGATTCCATATTTTTTTTCTCAAACAGCAAAAGTTGGTATCTTTATGTCTACTTGATCACAAGGCAGACAGAATCTAAATTAATATCCATAATCAAAGAATGGGATGCTGATCCAGAATAAATAATAAAATTGCATACAATGTAGAATCTTAAGTAGGTAACATACATATAGTAAACCTCACGTAAGTTGTATCAGTTGGGAGCCTACATATAATATATCTTACGCAAAGTACAAATTATGTCAAACTTTGCATAGAGTATAAACTCTTGAACGGGACTTGGGCAGTAGCTCAAACTCTGTTCTAAGTGCAGACTTGGGCAAACTTATATGATTTATAAAATCAGACTGTTTTCTGTATATATATATGATTGAAAAAGAAATGTAGTCAAAGCAGATGTGGTAAGAAACACGCATTTCATAATACAGCTGATTGATTACAGACCTTTTGGAGAAATCTTTTGCATTAGACTATTATTGAAACAAAATCTACAGAATTGGAACAAAAGAGTAGAACAAGTTCAGTGTTGGCAGTTTATTCTACTCTGCCCATTTATAACAAACTGCAGATGATTAAAGAAGGAAATGACATTAAATAATCAAAATAACAATGACAGAAAACAGTTATATTGCAGTAACATCGTGTTCATGGTTGAGTACATCAAATAATTCAAACTTCACACACCTTTGCTACATCTAAGCCCCTTTTTACCATCAGTAAAACATCAGTAGAAACCTCTCACACCATAAAGTCAGTCATGTAAATGCAGGTTATATATATCTTGTTTAATCCTGCTAAAGGCAGGATTAAAAGAAGCAATGTTTGCTTACCACCACATCCTCAATAACTAATTTGGAAATGCTATTGGATTCTAAAGCATTTACAGGTTTTTGTAACAAATCTCATCTGACCCAACAAGGAAATCCTATACATTTGTTATCTAGGTTTTACAGCATAGAATGACAATGCAGAAATCCTCCAAGAGTTCTTTTAAACAGCTGGAGCACTGAATAACAGCAAATGAACTTGCTAGCAAGCTACCTGCCATTCATCTTTCTTCTGTTCAATATAAAAACCTGCTGTCGGGATACTTACTTTCATTTGCAAGTATGGTTTAATGAAAGCTAAAGAGCCAAACAAGAGTGATTCGGTAATGGTGTCAAATAAAACTAAAAGGCAAAAACAAGTGCAACAAACGTTACTGGAAATGACAGCAAGAGTACAAAAATATTTTAGTACAGATAAGCTTGTTAATATTTTTAAAGTCGCTCCCGGAACAAGAACTCTTATTTTTGAGAGAGACTTGAAAAGTTATTCATTCATATCCGCAAAAGTTCTTGTGTTCTTTTTCTCAGGAAGAAGATGCAGATGTTTCAGCGTCCCTTTCCATTCTTCAAAGAGGAAGAGAAGGCATACTTCTGTTATATGATGCAAATGGCTATCTGGATTAAATTCTTGAATGGAGGCAGAGGAATCTTCCTTCACTTTTCCAGCAAGTATTTATTTCACTGTTTTTTTTAACTGGTAGAGTTGCCTTTATTGCATGCAAAGCAGTGCACAGGCTTTGTATTGAAGATGCTGTTCAAAAAACACAACTGTTCTCTTTTTGGGTGTCAGCATGATTTTATTGTCCTTGACGACAATGAGTTTGAAAGAAGTTTCCCAAGAACGTGCGATAACCTGGATCGTTCACGTACTCGTTCATGAATTTGGAATTCAGGACTCTCGGTCGCTTTTTTGCCTGAATGCTTTCATTGGAAAACGTAGCCTCATAGCGCATGTTTGAAGCTGAAGACTACAAACACAATGTGTGTTAAGAAATATGTAAAAGGTCAAATATGCAATGTTAACATTGATACAATGAATCACAGTCTCACCTCTTACCTGCAGGTCCACAGAACCCTGCCTGGGATTATATTTAAGCATCGATGACAAATCTGTTAATAGTTACCAAATTATACCCATTGGTTCACAATATATGAAAATGCCAAGATCAGTTTGAATGAAAAAGGCTTCTGAATTAAGAGTTGTTCTGCTATGTTACCAGAAGGAATTCCATTTGCACAATTCAGATTTCACGTTAATAAAACCGCTTTAGGAAATACTGTAAATTCAACCTTTGTTTGTTCTTTGAAGCAGAAGAATAATTCACAGAACTGCCCCCATCCCCAATCCTTCAAATATTCCTACATTTTATAAAGGAAGCAATTTGCATAGATATTCTTGTGTTTCAGTTACTGCTCGCGTTTATACTTTAACACTGCTAACCAGAGGCAGATATTTTAGATAGAAATCTTTTCCTACTTGTATAACAGCTATCCAAAGTGTTGTTCAAACTCACATGGCCCATTCAAGTCATATACTACTGCTACAAGCCACAGGAGCGGGGATTTCTACACAAAAGATCTCCTCCTAGGCTGCCTCAAATATCAGTTCTAAAGCCTAAAATAGCAACAAAACGGACTGAGATAAGTAGACATAGCTTCCTCTGTAACATTTATGATTAAGATGCTATTTCAATAGAATAATACTGCCTGTTTCACTTAACCATCAGCAACATATGATTTATTGTGGAATGATTTGAAACCGCAGTCCATCAATGCCCACAGGATAGCAATGAATTAAATGGAACAGCGGTTTAAGTGAACTCCCTTTACATTTTCCAGACAACTCCCCACATCTTTTCGATTCCCTGGTTGGCTTTGACAATCAAAAAAATAGTTTTTTTCCCAAGGCAATATTCTTTTTTCTTACCCCTTTTGTGCACATATTAATATAACCAAACATTAAGGCTCTTGTGCTATTTTGTCACTTACAAAATCAAATTTTAGATATAGGGGGAAACAATTCCTATGTTTTCATGACAATATATGTTAGCTCTCAATGAGCACTGCTTAGCATTTCGGATGGAAGAACAGCAGTTGGAAAAATAACTCAATGGGGAAGCACAAAGAGGGGTAAATGAGCAGAGATACATAATCCTTGCACTTTATCACATTGTCAAGATATCTTTAAGTGCTTAACAAGCTTTTACTGTAACATGCAGTGACTATGTGCTTGTAGGCAAATGCAGTAGCCAGTTTGCGCACAGCAATGTCCCACAAACAGTTATGGAGTAAGTGAACAATTTTATTTGGGGATTGATGGTCAGGACACTGAGAAAATTCTCTTTTCTTTTCGAGTAGTGCCATGGAATCTTTAACGTTCCCCTGATCAGGCAGACACGGCCTCAGTTTAAGGTCTCATCTGAAAGACGGCATCTCCAACACTGCAGCACACCCCCAGCATTACATTGGAGTATTAGTCTAGTCCTAAACTATGAATTCAAAGTTCCGACTTGGGGCTTGAACCCACAATCTTCTGACTCAGAAGTGAGCATTAGCCCCACTCCAAAGGAAACAACTGATCAGCGTTCTAACCTTGACACTATTAACAGTGGTTAGTGGTTAGAGCACTCGCCTCGCAAGCGAGAGGACCCGGATTTGATTCACGGCAGGGTGAAATGTTGGGCAAGTTTCCTTACTTCACACGACTCCGTTTACCAAGCAGTAATTAGGAACCCGGTTATTAGTTGATTTTCCAGGGGTAATAATTCCATAAAAAGATAATAATTTCGCCACTTAATCCACGACTGTTAGTGGGACACTGCTGTGCGCAATTAGCTGCCGCGTTTCGCCCACAAAGCATAAAGTCAATTCACTTTACAGTATATTTTGTGAAGCGCTTTGAAAGGTCTAGAATATGTGATAAGGTGCTATATCAAATGCAAGTATTATTATTATTAGAAAAGGTGTTTCATCCACTCATGTACATTTCAGATGGGTTACTGGATAACAACCTGAACCCTCACCTGTGTTTTTTCCTTTACCAGCCCAGGGGAAATTGAAATCAAATTTAGTATCCACTGATACTTTGATCAGTATAGATTCATTTAACATTGGTTAGTAACTTTACCAATTGAACCCTAGATGGAACTCTGTATGGCATTTTTATGGTTACCTATTACAGTGTAGTCCATTGCTTTCTCTAATTCTGGACTCTCTGTCAGGACTATGAGATAAATAAACCAGTTTACAGCATAAATTTAGACAGGTTGATACTGAGACACACAAAAGCCAAATACAAGTGATATAGTTAGTGCATCAACTCATGTTTTTTTTATCTACTTGATTCTTATTTTAGTTTCCAACCTTCATTTGCTCTTATAAAAATGCCTCTAATAAAATCACAGCTACTCGATAAATGCACAAATTAAGTTGGCTCTGCCACATTTTAGAAAGATTCCACAAATCTGCTACATACATTATATAATATGTATTATAATAATAATAATCCTTGCATTCGATATACTGTCTTATCACGTTGAGACATCTCAAAGCAATTCACAGAATATACTGTAAAGTGAATTGACTGTGTATTTTGTGAGTGAAACACGGCAGCCAATTGCGCTCAGCAGCGTCTCACAAACAGTAATTTTTTTTTGGGGGGGGAGGATTGTTACCCTGGAAAGCAATCTGCCAATCGACTAACAACACTGAACATCAAAAATGGGTCTATGACTACTGAATAATGCAGCATCTTCCTATGTGCAAGTAAGGAGATAAGGGATGTGCTCTTAGCGTGGAGCTGTAGATGCGCTCGACTAATGCATATTTTCACTGAGGCAACAACGATCTGGGTTTCATTTCTTTACACAATTTAATTTATGAATCCAACTCTGGTCATTTAAAATTTGACAATTTATTAATGGTAAGAAGACACAACGCTTCCTGCAAGATGATAGTCTGGTCCAAGAAAATTATTACGAGTCCTAATGCAGTTGGCAGATGAATTTTTGGTTGGTGTCTCTTTTGAGGGTGATGGCTCTTAGAAGTAGCAATCACTCATGAAAGTCCTGGAATGCCCCAGGATGATTTATTTGGCTGAGACTCCTGGGAGAGAAGCCACATTTCATAGCTTAGAAAATAAATAGAAACTTCCCGTCCCTATTTCTATCTTCAATAAAGCTGATGAGCAAATTCCACATTTACCATTAACATTTACTAAGTTAAATAAGCCTGAGGCAGATTTGCAATGCCAGAGTGAAGCTAAACATCTGCCAAAAAAACATGCAATATTTGTGCTGTTCAGTTTTAACTTGAGCTTCTTTTATTTTGCATCAAATTGTGGATGCTTAAAGGTTATGAGTTAATCTACTAAACAAAAATCAGCTAGCAAAAAAAAACTAACTTGCATTTTTTTTGAAACGCTGCAGATTTTGTGCAATTAACACTATATCAAATACAAATATTATTAGCAAGCAATAGATTTTCAAGGGTTTTCTCTTCAGTTAGTTACATATCTGCTGTAGTAATAATAATAATAATCCGTGCATTTGATATAGCGCTTTTCACGTCTTCTAGATGTCTCAAAGCGCTTCACAGAATAGACTATAAAGTGAATTGACTGTACATTTGTGGGAGAAACACAGCAGCCAATTGTGCACAGCAGTGTCCCACAAACAGCTGTGGATTGAAGTGACCAATTTATTATTTTTTTCTTGGGGAATTATTATCAGGAGTGTGGAGTAAGGAAACTTGCCCAAGGCTTCACCCTGCCGGGAATCGAACCCAGGTTTCTTGCTTGCGAGTCAAGCGCTCTAAGCACTGAGCTACAGGACTCCATGTTGTTGGATGTGACACTTATTGCTTGTATGTGAATGCTGAAAGAATTTGCAACAGTTGTGGTTGATGTCCCACTTTGGAATTTGCATACACCATATAGTGCTGTTTTTTAGATAAAATGCAAAACCGAGAGCGTTCTTCAGTGGACATTAAATACACTATTTGTAAAGAGAAGGGAATTTCTCCCCGTGTCCTGGCCAATGATCCTCCAGATTAATTGGACATTTACCTAATGGTTATATATGGGTCCCTGTTGTGCACAAAATGGCTGCCGTGTTCCTGTGAAAACTCATTACGCTTGATTGTAATTACTGCAGCACACTGGAGACATTTTGATGAAATAAGGTGCAATGAAAATGCTTGTTCTTTCAATGTTTTTGTGGGAGGGGAACAACAACAAAATTACATTTGCGGGGTGCCTTTCACATCGGGAGGACGTCCCGAGGTGCTGGACAGACAAGAGTATCGGACCCGAGCTGGGGTCGGGATCAGGGAGGGTGGAGGGTAGGGAGGGAAGCGGGGAGATCGAAAGGAGAAAGAAAATAAACTACATTTATTCACACAAGCTTGGAGGCAATGCAGTGGCAAACTGTTAGACACCATTCTCACACACCTCCTTGTGGCAGATTTAAGGGCATTATTGACAGAGAGGGTTGTGAGCAAGACAGATCTCTGCACAGCCAAAGCTTGGCTTTGTGTTATAAGGAAACAAACAGGAAGAAGGAAAACATTAGTGGCTTGTTCTGACTCTTAAAATAAACTATATGAGAAGAAACAAAACAATTATAAATTAAAACTCATCAAAGCACATTTGAGTAATTATTGCCAAAGTGCAATGACACTTTCCATACACAAACACAGCAGCCATTTTGCAAGGTCACTCAAACAAGCATGCATATAAATGACCCATTAATCTTTATGATCATTGGCCAGGAAACGGCAGAAACTTTCCTTTCTTTTTGAATAATGTCATGCAGTGTTTAATGTCTAGCTGAAGACATATAAAACAGGACTTTGGTTTAACGTCTCATCTGAAGGATGAAACCTTCAATAATGCCTGACTCCCCGATAATGCACTGAAGTGTCAGCCAAGACTATGAGCTCAAGAGCAAAAGCCATAACTGCCTGACCCAGAGATAAAAGCGCTACCAACTGAGCCAAGCTGACATTCCAAGTTAAAGTAAATTCAGAAGTCAGAGTGGAAAAAATGGTAAATTTTTCTCGCACCTAATGCAATGCAAAAGTAATATATTTCAAAGCATGTCATGAGCAGAATACTTACAAGTCGTGATTTAACCCTTTTTGGCAGCTCTTCATTTAAAGTGTAAACATCATCGCGTTTGACGACAAACTGGGAGCCATCTTCAAACTCCACCTAAAGAACAATGTTCAGAACAGCAGTTAAATGGATGAGGCTGAGCAAAATGATCGTGTAAACCAGAGCTCCAGAGAAACAGATGACGGATATACAAGCAAAGAAATCCAAGTACTAATTCACATTCACTTCCAGAACACAGAACTCCTGAAAAACCCAATTCTTATTATAGATTACATTTCAGCTGACAGTCAGAATTGTAATGTCGATTTATATTTTGAGTTTGCTAGCTGGCTGAGTCCATAATAAGAAGTGCCAGATTTCCTGGCGCCAATCATAGCCAGAACAGCTTCTGGCATCACATCTCCTGTTGCCTCTGCGGCAAATTGCTCCATTACCTAAATGAAAAGGGTCGGTGCCAGTGTAAAAGACGCTCTGAGGCCTTTCAGACAGTTTCTTCTCCCCTCCTCATACCCCGCCAACCCAATCACAGCTACCTAAATAACAGCAGAACCTTGACAAAAGTCCAAGGGTGAGATCACCTGATAATTAAGACAAACCACCAAGCTCTGTTACTGTAATTTGGTATCAGTCAAATAGGAAAATAACTTTTGAAAAAGTCTTGTGAATGAGCGAAGTATTTGATGTACCAATTATCATTTAATGCACCAATTATACAATGCCACCTTACATTCCAACCATTGACCCCACAGGTTTTAAATGTACTAGCAGCAGCTGTCCTTCAAGAGCAACAAAACTCTTATGTCACATCTGCCTTTAATCCCTCCAGATTTCTAATATAAAAGTATCACAATATGCCTTGGTACTAATGCATTAAAATTGGTTAATCGCTCATGAACAGCCTGCCAATTTAAACGTTAAATGCTGTAACCGTTGGTCACTCCGGCAAGTGAAGGGAGTAAATTGGCTTGATTTTTAATTAAAAAACACAAGGGGAAGGAAAGGAATATAATGTTAGCTATTAACTAGAAGTGGAGCATATGCACATTGTTTGCTCAGTTATATCATCTGCTGCACAAGAAGTGATACTCAAATGGAGGACCAGAAGTATACACGTATAGACATTAACCTTTCAGGATCATCTGGTTACATGAAAATAAGAGTAAAAGAAAGAAACTGAAAATGTTATAAGACTTTATCACATCGAAATGTCTCACAAAACTTCATAGTTAATTTTTTCATGTGTTGTGACTGTTTTGTTGCAGATAAACTTACCAGCCATTTGCATCAAGAAGGCCACAAGCAAACCATGAGCTGAATGCCCCAGTTAAATGAAGGATTGTGGCCAAGATTCCAAGAGAACAACAACAAGATTACATTTGTAGCGCCTTTCACGTCGGAAGGACGTCCCAAGGTGCTGGACAGTGTACAGCATTTCAGACCCGAGCTGGGGTTGGGGGGGTAAGGGAGGGGAGGGGAAGGGGGGTGGCCAATGGCATGGTCGAAGAGGAGGGATTTGAAGGAGACTAAGGAGTGGGCGAGGTGGAGTGACTTCCAGAGGTACCCCTCTTCGATTTTCAAATTGTACTATAGGATCTTTACTATCTACCTGGAGGATAGGCCACATCTGAATCTCTAACACTGCACCACCTCCCCAGTCTAACTCCCAAACGTCAGGCTAGACTGTGAACTCAGGTCCTGATATCAAGAGAATAGAATGGGGAAGGAGCAAATCAGCTGAGATTGGGTAAGATTGTTGGGACAGTGGAATATACAGGAATATACAAAGTAGTTACCTCTTGCTTTTTTTCCTTACAATGCTTTTTTATTTTAAAATGCAGATGAGTCAAGTGTAACAATGTCTGACACCAGTGACTTCTTCGTCACTCCATCCACTTTACAGAAGATGTTGCACCAAACTTGGCGATGGATCATTATCTGTCATGAAAACGTTGGCGCTCACACACACACATCTAAATACAGCTAAACACTTGTACTGAATACAATTCAGTATTTCCGAATACAATTATCATCATTCTTCCACATGTTTCAATTTGGTCAGTGCACTGTAGAAAACACATGGGGGTAACAGGACATTGTGAATACCTTGCAGAGGCTGGAGAGAGAGAAAATATTTATAATTAATTGCATGGTGGCATTGGGGTTCAATTGTTATAAGAATCATCCAGAGATGAGACTGTGTCACAGGGAACAGTCGTTTAGAGAAAAAAGGCCAGCATACCGGTGAGAGAAACCACAGAAAGATGGTTTCTGTTTAAATTAGGCCATCAAATACATTTGATTTCAGTAAGCCAGAGGAATGGGCAAGATGGGTAAAGCGATTTGAAAGATTTAGAATTGCTTCAGGGCAGAATAGAAAAGATGATCAAAATCAGATTAATACTTTGCCACGTTCAATGAGGAAAGAAGCCAAATATATTGTATGCTGTTCTCAAGTATAAGGATAAATGGGAAAACTATACAGCAGGACAAGGAGTAATAGAAAGGCATTTTACTGTATGTAGCAACTGGACTTTGAAAGTCAGTCATTCAACCAAAGAAAATAGGAAGGGAACCTGGATGAACACTGGCTGTGGTTTGACATGGCTCATGATCACAATATACTGGGCTACGATATGTGGGAGAGGCTCTGAATAAACTGAGAATACCATATTCCACTGAGATAAATTGAGGCTATCAAGCAGCAAAAGACTAATGTCTTTTAAAAAGACTAACTTATGTTTGATCTCAAGGAAAAAAATGACATCAGACAGACATTGATGCTGTAGTTGAGCTTGGATGTCTATTGCTAGGATATCCTAGGAAATAAGCTGGTCAAACAATTGGTCACCTCCAGGGGCTGGTTACTGAGCAAAGATCCAAATGGAGAATAAAGACAAATGAAAATTCATGAATGGTTTAGGCAATCATGCTATTTCATAATATTTTTAACACAAATGATTCCTGATATTAAGAGACCAATCAGCATAAAATTAAAACTTCCAACATGTATATTTTACAATCTGCAAATCTTACAAAATGGTCCACTCAAAGCAGGTTTCAATTATAAATTAATTTACTATCCACTTGAAAGCTATTTTACAAATAATCAAAGAACATGCTCTCGCCTTGTTGAAAGAAAGAAATATAGAATGAGGAAGCAAAAGATGAAACAGTAAATAAGAATAGAACAAAATATGACAATGAATAAAAGGCAAAATTGTGAACTATTTAAATATATTTTCACAAAATGTACTTAGTCTATGTAAATCGCCTCTTACCTGGTACATGTAAATAATGTTTGATGCCACATATTTTGCACCATACAGCAGTCCATCAGTCCACCTCACCTGGACAACCTCTCCCTCTGCTGGGGGACCCAGCTCTAAGCAATTCTTGCTCTATAGAAAGAAGAGAATTTTGGTAGAACAATAACAAGATTACATTTGTATAGCGCCTTTCACGTCGGGAGGACGTCCCAAGGCGCTGGATAGTGTACAGCATTTCAGACCCGAGCTGGGGTCAGGGAGGGAGAAGGGAGGGGAGGGGAAATGGGGTGGCCAATGGCATGGTCGAAGAGGAGGGTTTTGAGGCGGGACTTTAAGGAGGGGGTGAGGCGGAGTGATTGGGGGATGGAATTCCAGAGGTTGGGGGCAGAGTGGCTGAAGGCTCTCACGCCAATGGTGGGGCGGGTGGGTCAGGTTACGTGGAGCAGGCCAGAGCCGGCTGAGCGGGCGGGTTGGTAGGGGGTTAGGAAGTTGCAGAGGTAGGGTGGGGCGAGGCCATGGAGGGCTTTGTAGCGGAGGTAGTGGCGGAGTCGGGCAATGTTACGGAGAGGCAGAGAGGGCCATGGCTTGGATGTGGGGAAGAAAAGACAGTTGAGGATCGAACAAGACACCTCGGTTCCTGACTGGTTTGGTGAGTTGTAGCGTCCAACCGTGGAGGTTGATGCTGCCAGAGCCTGAGGTGCTGAGGCGCTGGCGCGAGCCAATCAGGAGGGCCTCAGTCTTGTTCACATTCAACTGTAGGAAATTTGCCCTCATCCAGGACTTGATGTCCGACAGACAGTCTGTCAGGACAGCAGTGGTCCTGGAGTTGAGGGTGGAGGCAAAAAGAAAGGGTGTCATCCGCATACACAAAGTTGACCCCATGTCTGCGGATGATGTCACCAAGGGGGCGCAAGTAGATATTAAAGAGGAGAGGACCAAGGACAGAGCCCTGGGGGACGCCAGATGTGACAGTGTGGGGGATGGAGGAGAAACCGTTAGAGGCAACAAAGTGGAGATGGTGAGAGAGATAGGAATCGAACCAGACAAGGGCAGATCCATGAAGATTGAGTAAAGTGGAGAGGCAGTGTATGAGGATGGAGTGGTTGACAGTGTCGAAGGCGGCAGAGAGGTCGAGGAGGACAAGGAGGTAGAGGGAGCCCTGATCACAGATGTTCAGAATGTCATTAGTGACTTTGATCAGGGCTGTTTCCGTGCTGTGGGCAATGCGGAAGCCGGATTGGAGAGGTTCAAAGAGGGAAAACGAGAAAGATAGGAACAAAGCTGGGACGCGACGACTCGTTCCAGGACCTTGGAGAGGAGGGAGGTGGTGAGGAAGGAGGGAGAGATAGGGTCGAAGGAGTTTAGGGGGGATGGGTGGGGGGTGGGTCATGAGGGAGAGGTGATGTGGGGGTGGCGGTGGACGGGGCAGAGGTGGCTGAACGTATCCCCTCGATTTTGGATTCAAAAGTCCAGCATCTCCTCACAGTTGGAGTTTGAGGAGAGGATGGGCGAGGCTTGGGAAGGTGGATGGAGGAGACGGTTTATTAGTCTAAAAATTAGACTAAAATAATAATAATCCTTGAATTTTGTATTCCACCTTATCATGTCTTCGAGACGTCTCAAAGAGCTTCACAGAATATACTGTAAAGTGAGTTGACTACATTTTGTGGACGAAACGCAGAGGCCAATGCGCACAGCAGTGTCCCACAAACAGTTGTGGATTGAAGGAACCAATTTATTATTATTATTTTTTGAATGAATTATTACCTCCAGAAAAGCGATCTGCCAATCAACTAACAACTGGGTTCCTACTTACTGCTAGGTAAACGGAGGCGTGTGGAGTAAGAACTTGCCCAACATTTCGCCCCACCCTGGAATCGAACCCAGATCTCTCGCTTTGAGGCAAGTGCTCTAACCACTGACCTACAGGACTCTAAGTATGATAAAACTGTAATACTGTATAAGTATTGTATATACTAGAAAAGCATTAACATACAAAAGGACAAAACTCTAAGTCTCATCTGCTCACAAAGAGAAACAAGAAACATATCAGGAGAGTCTTGCAAATGGAAGTTGAAAATGTGGGAGAGAGCTGAGCCAAAGAAAACAATGAATAATAATAATAATAATCCTTTTGCATTTGATACAGCGCTTTTTACGTCTTCTCGACTTCTCAAAGCGCTTCACAGAATAGACTGTAAAGGCAATTGACCATATATATTTGTGGGTGAAAAATGAATATCAAAAATGAACTCCATTTAAAAATTCCATTTAATACAATAAACCTATACCAATGTTAAGCAGCCTACCATTGATTCAACCTTCTTAGACTAGTAGAAAGTACATGAGTGATACAAAATAGCAGAAGGTGATCGCTCGAGACTTGTATCTTCAAGTTAACTCAGAGTATACCTATTCCAAAGTCCTCCTGAACATGCAGAACTAGATAATGTTCTTTCAAGCATATATGAAGATTATTCCTGGTAGGTGATTTGCATTATCCTCTAGAAATACCAAGCTTACAGACTCAAGATATCACCATCTAGCTCTAATTTTCCCTGATTGACTTTGCTCAGCGACGGAATAAAACATCCATAAAATAAACAATATTTCTTTTCAACTAAAGCAACAGGAAAATAAACCTTCAGGGCTTATTTCTAGAGACAAATAAAACCCAAAATAACTGTAGACAAAAGTGACAGCCTTAACTGCATGTCAACTAAGACACAGTGGATCACCGACCAAAGTATGGAGTTCATTATTCCTGCGCACTCATATGAGGATCATTAAAATACTGGGATGAAAAATGCAACATTTAATGACATAATTATCACTGTAATATTATTATCATCTGAAAAATAAAAGTACACGAACATAAGGATAACAATGATGCCTTCAAAATTGGAACCAAGCAAAACAATATTTAAATAACTGGGTTGGTTTCTGCTTGCTCACTGATGTGATGTTCAAACTCTCCGAGTTTTTAGGGTTGAGCATGCAACAATGGACATGTTCACACAGTTCATATTAATAATCCTTGCATTTGATATAGCGTCTTATGATGTCATTGAGACTTCACAAAGCGCTTCGCATAATATACTATAAAGTGTATTTTGTGGGCGAAATGCAGTAGCCAATTTTGCACAGAAGTGTCCCACAAACAGATCATTGAGCAACCAAAGCTAGCTTTCCTTCACCAAATCTACTGCTCCACTGCGAGTTTCCAATAACTAAAGTGTGGTTGAGGAGGAAACACATTCCTTACGAAAGCAATTTAATTTCAATTATTTGGGATTTAAAAACAATTTGCCCATCCTCGCATTCTGTGACAATGAAAAACGACATCTTATACACCACTGACGCTGAGTGTTGAACAAAAGCAGCCATTTCAGAGTCTTTGTTCTGCACATCCAAACAGAGCTGAGAAAATTGAAAATAGACTGGATTTTGATTGCAGGTAGCACCTTGTTAGGCCAATATATCTCAGCAACCACAAGTTTACTCGGCAACAAAAAAAAACATGACAAATGTTGGCATCCTTTCAAAAAGTCTTTTAGCAAGTTATGCATCTGGCCTGTGGGCACTAAAGTACAAAACTTCTTGTTACCATTTACAACGATAAGATGAACGATGTCTGTCTGGCGTTCCAGAATACCAGAGCTGGGCATAAAGTGAAAAGTCACTGTAATAAAATACAAAGATTGAGCAAGCAAGCGTGCCCTTCAGCAGCATGTCCAATTTAAAAAGAAAAGCATTGTAGAATCATAAAGACAGAATCAAGTAATTTGGGGGTTGGGAAAAAAGGATTTGTTAAAGTAACTGTACTTGTATAATGCATACAAGCTTTTGATTTCATCTCCGCCTACTTTAATTTACAGGATGCAACATACAGCAGTCCCTTATAGTATCTGCAAACAAAGCACTATTTAGATATTAAGACATGTATAAGAATATTAGAATATGTCTAAAATAAACTTGAAACTTTTTTTAAAAAAAGTCTCTTTGTTAATGAGTAAACAGGACAATACAAATTTACATTTATATAAAATCTTTTATGTCAGGAGAACATCCCGAGATGCTTGACTGTGCTGGCTTGGCATTTGAACTGGGGGTGGGAAACAAGGGGGTTGGGGAGGGGTAAGATGATTGAAGATGCGGTCAAAGATGAAGGTCTAGAGAGGTGATACATGCAGGAATGACCAGGAGTGAAAAGGCCTCATCCCACCCCCCCGCTGACCCACACACACGCACACGTTACTGCCGATTTGATGCTGCACACCATCAAATACAAACTGACAACAGTCATGCGTTCCCTTCTTGGTGAGGTAATGCTACTTGAATACAGGCCTGGAAACATCCTGGATTCTTTTAAATTATGTCATACATTGCTTGGCTACTCACAATGGCTGATGTTATGAAGCACAGCCTTTCAATGAAGCCAAAAAGTTGATGCAGATTTAATCAGAAAATCAAAGACATTCAGTTCCGATGGTAATATGATGGAAGGATGACAGCTGTTGTCCTCTGCTAAATTGCCAGACACCGCTTGACACTGCTGTTCATCCACATGCATGCAAAGTCGTTCATTAGACTTGTATGCACAGGACAGGAGTACCGCATGATTTAAAGGAAGAAGCATGGCAAGAATGATCAAGCCAAAACAAATGAGGTGCATCCAGCATGCTGATCTGAACGTGTTAGTGCTCCAACAAGCCGGACCACCTTGTAAATCTGACAGAGAACGAATCAGTACCCATCAATTCCGTATGTTCATCCAGGTGAAAATGTATTTCCCCTACCCCAGCCTTAGACATAGCACAGAGACAGGGAATGAGATAGGCAGAGTTAGAGAGACTCAATGAGAAGGAGAGGCATTAGTGAGTGAGTGAGTGAGTGAGTGAGTTAGTGAGTGAATGAGTGAGTGAGTGAGTGAGTGAGAGAGAGAGCGAGAGAGAGAGAGCGAGCGAGCGAGCGAAAGCCAAAGTGAAAGAGAAAAAAACACAAAAAATATTTTATCTGTACCAAATCTGGAGAGTACATTTTTTATGCTAAAAGGGAATATATTAATGAAGCATGGCAATTAAACTTAAGTTGCAAATGCAAATCAAGTTAAATAGTTCATTTTCAACTCA